GCTGCTGCGAGACCGCCCTGCGGCGGTTTCGACCCGCCGGCCGCCGCTGCGGCAGCTGTGCGTCCTGACACGGAAGCTGACGAGGTGGCGTCAGTGCCAGCTGACGAGGCATGAAGCTGCTCGGACAACAGCAAGGCGTGCGCGTCGCAGCTCGCGCCAAACGCCACCAGCCGCCGCAGCAGCTCCACGCCCCCCGCCAGGGCGCCCTTTCCGCGCGCACCCGCCGCCGCCGCCGCCTCTGCCGCCGGGGCGCGCGTCAGCTCTGAGATGCGGCTCAACGCTGACTCGCTGCCTGCCTCCTGGCTGCACTGCTGCAGCGCGGCTGCCGCGGCCACCTCGACAACTGGCAGCAACGTCAGCCTCTGGCACCAGGGAAGAGCCGCCAGGTCAGCAACCACCACCCCAAGCGGCAGCGCAGCCGCCTTGTCAGCGAGCGGCCCCTCAGGCTCCGGGCCGTTGATGGAGCGCCCGCCCGCCAGGCCGCCTGCCGTGGCTGCTGTCACGCCTGCGGCAGCTGCTGCGACCAGCGCCCCGCGGATGCACTCGGCCAGTGCCAAGCCTGAGAGGTCCGGTGCCCGCAGCGACCGAGGGTGCCCGGCGACGTCGGCCTCGGCGCCGCCGAGCCGCTCGGCGGCGGCGCACACCCCCAGCGCGCAGCACCACGCGTCGGCGGCGGGCAGGGCGGGCGCTGCACTGCGGTTAGGCATCTGCTGCTGCTGCTGCTGCTGCTGCTGCTGTTGCTGCAGGAGGAGTAACTCAGACAGCTCTAGCAGCATGAGCAGCTGCCCCCGGTCCCATCCCCCGTTGCTGCCCCCGCCGTCGTCGCTGCCGTTGCCGCCGCCGACCCCGCCCCTCGTGTCCCACAGCTGACGCAGCGGCGCAATCGCCAGCTGCGCCGCGGCCTGCGTCGGGCCCAGCAGCCGCGCACGCAGCAGGCGCCCGACCAGCTGCACAGCCGACCGCCGCTCGGCCTCCGCCGCCGCTGCCGCGGCTGCAGCTGCGCGCGGCCCGAGCAGCTCGCCGCGCAGCTGCCGCAGTAGCCGGCAGGGGGCGCCGGCGCCGGCAGCGGGTGCGTGAAGGCACAGCGGCGCGAGCGCCACGAGAAGCTCCACCACAACCGCCTGCTGGGCCCTGGGGGCACCAGTGAATATTGGAGGGGTCGCAAAGTGTGAGAGAGATGGGGTGTAGTTGCATTGCCTGGTCGTGCAGACAGGTGGCTGCCTGGTATCACATGCAGGCGCAGCCCCCGCAGCGGCGGGCCTCCAAGGCGGGGCGCTAGGCCGACAGTGGCAACCCTTTGACACGGAGCGGCTAGGCTGGTGCCTTTTAGTCAATGAAGGGCCAAGCGTCGCCGCTGTACGCGGGGACTAGCTGCAGGAGGACGCCCCGGGCGCGGCCCCCGAGCCCCACCTGTTGTTAACGCCGTCCCGCAGCAGCCGCCCCAGCACCGCCCCCGGCCACAGCAGCGCGTGCGGCAGTACTGCGCGCGCCGCGCGCGCCGCCAGCGCCGCACGCTGCTCGCCGGTCGGGACCACCTCCAGCCCGGACTCGTCCCGCGCCACAAGACGGTTGCTGGCCGCCACCAGCGCCGCGGCCGCGGAGGCAGCAAACACGCCGGCCGCCGCGAGGCGCTCCTGCATCTCAGCCAGGCGCCGCGCGGCGGCCGCGGCGGGCCGTGGGCCGCCGCCGTGGCCGGCGATGTTTGTGTGCCCCGTTGCTGGCGGGTAAGCTTCTGCTAGTAGCGCCGCCTGCTGTGCGCGCGCGGACACCTGTGAGCCGACCCCCACCGCCAAGGCGACCAAGACGTGGCACGCCGCCGGGTGCGCGGCCGGGGCGCCCGCCCGGACCCAGGCGGGGCGGGCCGGGCCGCTGCCGCCGCTGCCACCGCTGCCACCGCTGCCACCGTCGGCTGGGTCCAAGGCGCCGTCTTGACAGCGGTGAGACAGCATCTCCAGCAGCACGGCCAGCAGCCGGGCGGCGCCAAAGGCGTCGGCGCCGGCGGCGGCTTCGAGGCGCGGCGCGAGCGGCAGCGGCCACCAGCGGGGCGCGCCGGGGGTCAGCCATGCGCAGGCGAGCGCGAGGCAGTGCTGCGCCGCGGCGTCCGGACCGCCGCGGGCTGGCATGGCGGGCAGGTCGAGCAGCGGCTGCGCCATTGGAGGCGCAGTTGCGGCGGCTCCCACCAAAGCCTGTGTTGTTGCGGCCGCCGCCGGGGCTTCGGCGCTGCAGCGGCCCGCCAGGAGAGCCTGAACCAGGCCGCTGCTCTGTACATAGTTCCTGGCCCCGCCGTTGCTGCCCAAAGCGCCCTGGCGACGCGGCGGCGCGGCAGCTGCGTCTGCAGTGGCGTCCATACCGTCACCGCCGCGGCCGTCCTCGTCTTCGAAGCTATGCGACGGCAGTAGCATGTCCCACGGCGGGCGTCTTTCGCCGCCCCATACTGCTTCCGGCTGCGCAGGGCTGCGCACGAGCCTGCTCCACGCAGCGGCCTCCTGCTCTGAGATGGCCGCCGGCGCCGGCAGGGCCGCCGACAGCCTGGCGGCGGCGCCATCGCCGCTGCCGGCTCCGCCCGTGGCTACGGCCTGCCAGCTCATCAGGCACAGGACGATGCGGGTGTTGGCATGGACCAATGCCGTCAAGTTGAGAGCTCCTGCCACGTCAGCACCCAAGCAGCCTGCCTCTGCCGATTGCTGCTGCTGCTGCTGCTGCGCCAAGGCCGCTACGCGCGCCTGCAGCAGCGGTTGCAGCGCCCTCAGTTTATTGGCAAGAGCGCTCACAGCCGCGGCCCCGCCGGGCCCGGCAGCCCCCAAATCCGACAAGTCGCCCTGCCAGCTGCCCAGCAGCTGCTCAAGCAGCGCCAGCGCCGCGGCAGCGATAGCGTCTGGCGGCACGGCTGCGCCCCCATGGCCATCGCCGGCGCTAGAGCCCTGCTCCTGAAATACGCCGGGCGCCGCCGTCTTGGGCGTTTCAGACAGTCCCCATGCTGCCGCGAGCGCCAGCTGGCTCAGAAGCTCAATCCCGTCCCCACGCGGCGCCACCTCTGCGGCAACCGAACCGGCCGGCAGCGCCAGGAGCAGCGCCGTCCACCACGCCCCAGGCGCCCAGGCCGCCGCCGCGGGCCCAGAAGCCGCGGAGGCCGCCGGCGGCCCCAGCAACCGCATGGCACGCGCCGCCGCGGCGGGCGACGCCGCCGCCAGGTCACGCAGCAGCCGCTCCTGCAGCTGCGGCACCGCAGGGCGCGGCAGCCAGGTCAGCATTTCCAGGAAGAGGCCGTGCCAGCTCAGGTCATGCAGCAGGCGCCCATACTGCTGACTGGTCAACTCCCAGCCGGCCGCCGGCCCCAGGAAGTCTCTGGAAGCCCATGTAGGAGGTGGCTCTGCGGGCCTGCCGCCGCCTGCCCCGCCTGCTCTGGCGCCTGCCCCGTCAAGGCTGCATTGGCTCCCCCTTGCTGCATTGTCTGAGACTGACTCAGCATGGAGGGCCTCCCAGGCCAGGAAGAGGTGAGCATGCAGGAAAGACTCAACAAACTGCCCGCCGCCCAGACGCTCTACGGCGCCTCGGATGTGGGCCGCGGCTGCGTCCGCCAGATCAGAGTCGACATCACCACTGCACCAGCTGGTGCTGCTGTTGCTGCTGCTGCTGCTGCTGCTGCTGCTGCTGCTGCTGCTGCTGCTGCTGCTGTCGCTGCCGTCATTGTTATCGGCGCTGCTGCTGTTGCCGTCCAAGCTGGTGGCGAGCCCTTCACTATCACCGCCTAAAGCAGCACCTTCCCCGACCAGCACCGCGCTGGCAAGGCCGGGTGCACGGCCGACGTCGTCGGCGGGCGCCTCGACGTCAGCGCCGTTCCTGTAGGCGCCGCAGCCTTGTTGGACGCCCCGCCGCGGCCGCGGGCGCCCCGCCTGCTGCCGCTGCCGCCCGTCAGCAGCGCCGAGGGACGCCAGCGCCTTGCGCAGCTCCCCCAGGGCGCGCAGCGGCAGCAGGTCGTCACAAGGGGCGGCCGCGCACGCAGCCCTCAGCTCTGCCAGCCGCTGCTGCAGCCGCCACGCCGCCGCTGTCTCCTTGTGGCCGCGGCTGCGGAACACAGTCGCCATCGCCACACAGGCGCCGAGCTGGCGGAGCCGGGCGCTGCCTTACTCGGCCTTTGCGCGAGGCGTCGCTGCCGACCGTTGCAGCGCCCGCAGGAGGCGCCGGGGCAGCACCCACAGCAAAACCACTGCGGCGAGCGCCAGTAGCACGAAGTCCCACGCCCCAAGAAATGCCACCTCCTGCCCCTCAATCTGCAGCTGGTCGCCGCTGCCTTTGCCCCCGCCGCCCTGTTCCATTTGGGGGCGAGTGAAACTTCGCCTAGAGCTCGTCTACAGGCCGTTCATGCTGCTGCTGCTGCTGTTGCTGTTGCTGCTGCTGCTGACTGCCCTCGTCCTTCTTCTGCTGCTGCTGCTGCTGCTGCTGCTGCTGCTGCTGCAGCTGCTCTTGCTGCTGTTCTTGTGCCTTCCCTCGCTTCTGGGCCGGCTGCTGCTGCTGCTGCTCCTGCTCCTGCCGCGCTGCTTGCTCAAGGTCTTGCTTGATGGTGGCCAGGCGCCTCTGAGGCCGGCGAGGCACAGGGGGGTGCAGACAGGGCAGGACGTTATGGGGGGCTCGGGCCGACAGATGTGGAAGGACCAACTTGCGTTCCTTGCCGGCGTGCTAGGTACAGTCGTGCGAGCAACAGTGATAGGATTTTGCGGACTGCCAGGCTGGCCCAAGTCAGCGTCGCAGCGTCGCGCGACGCCCGTTCGCCCTCCCAGGCGCACCCTGTTGCGCTCGGTGATGCGCCGCCAGGCCACCACCCTTTCGGCCTCTGAGAGCTGCTCCCAGTTGGTGATGAGCTGCAGCCGCCCGTCCTCAGTCACTTTTTTTGGGGGGGGGGCGGCCAAGACCGAGCGGAGTGGGCATAAGAGTTGCAAGTGATGCCAGGCGTGCTGCGCGTCATGCGGCTGAGAGGGGAAGGGCCGGGTTGATCACAGACGAAACACAGCAAGCGAGCTGTGGGCCACTGCTTGCGCCTGCTGCCGCGCTGCGTGGCTGGCCCCGGTAGTGCTCACCAACGGTGGGGCCCAGGTGATCAAAGGCGACCTTCTCTCCTGAAAGGGTGTCGGCATCAAGCGCATTTCGGGTGCAGCTACCAGCATATGGAGTATGGGCAGGGATGGGCCAGCGTTGCGAAGTGCAAGCATGGCAAAGCGTGTGATGGATGAAGAATTGCAGGTCTGATCGCAGCGCACCCAATTGGATGCTCCTGCCTCTGTTGTCTGCTGCCTGCTGCCCTTTTGCTTCCGGCAGGAGCAGGGTCGCCTGTGGGGAGTCCGTCGTGCCGGGGGGCGCCGAGGAACCGGCGGCGGCCGCAGCGTCCTGTTCTTCCACTGCCTGCGCATGACGAGGTTGTGTGTGCAGCAATGCCGAGCCATAGCAACGCAGTTGACATGCATGACAGCATCTCATGTTATCTCAACTGACCTGAGCAAGCGGGAGCGCCGCTAGCAAGAGGAAGGTGATACAAGATCGCACAGATCGCATAGCACGGTGAAAGTAGAGAATGGTGCGAAAATGGAGAAGTTCAATGGGGCCACGCGATCGCACTGCGTCGCATCGATGCTTCGAGAGGGAGTCTCACCGAGCTCGAAACGACTTACGGTAGTCACCGAGTCACCGCTGACAATCGGCTTCCCGCCAGTCCAGCATAATTGCGTAGTACAGCACTTCATAGAGTTGAGCATACGTGAAGGGTACCGGTGGCGTGGGTACGGGCAGGGATACCCCACTCGCTTTGAGCATAGTCCGTGTGCGGTGCCTACGGTGGTGACCAATCTAGGCGCCCCACGGTCATCGCCCTCGTTACCGCATGCATGCCACGACGGAAATTTGTCTGCACGTGGGCAATCGTGTTTTTGGGATGCGTAGACGTGCTCCAGCCGTCGTCCATTGCCGGCCTACAGCCAGTGACTTGGGTGGCGCGCCCGAACCCCGACAGCACTGAGCTGCCGTTGAGAATGGTGCAGCAGCACGCCATGTGGCGTTTGTACATGGGGTATCAGCTGCACGTGCTGGCGTACATGTAAGCAAGCGGCTGACATCACCAACAACCGCTACCTGTCGTCCAAAACCAATGATGAACCACTGCTCGAGCAAAATATGCCTCCAATGTGTAAGCAACGTGGAAGAAATATTACAGCAAATTGTTTGCAAGCGGCGTGGGGGAGATATCAATGCAAATTGCGCCGTGGGGGATACCAGATACGGTACCGTACTGTACCAGCAGAATACGCTCACATCAAGATGTTTGCGGGTCGTCAAAGGCATAAAGACAGCCGCTTTGCTGGTGGGATGACACAATGGCCATCGGCAGCAAGCCCCGAGCAGCATGGGGCCCATGCGCCGACGCGAGCAGGATCTGGATGGCGCCGAGGCGCCAATAGCGTCCCCTGGTGCTTGGTACAAGCGACAAGCTGAGCGACCAAGGCAAATGTATTACGGCCAGTCTCTTTGGCGCCCGGTCTCATGTCATACAGCGGCGCCTTTTCCACCACGGTGGTGCGAGTTACATGTATCTGGCGGGCGCTCCGAGAGAGCCTGCTCACGGCCACGACACCTTTCACTCACGACCATCGCGTTTGAATTAATGCGCTATTATTGCGTTCAGCCATAGCCTGGCTTGACCCGGACCCGCGGCTGGGACCTCGCTTGCTTTTTTTGTGAGCAGTCGACGCTTCTGCACGAAATTTTGGAATCTACTTCGCCTAGAGCATGGCTACTAGTGACGTCGTTGCCGAAGGTGCGCCGCAGGGTCGGGGATAGGAAGGCACCCACAGGGATGTGGCTCACTCGAGGCAGCAGCAGCACTGCCGTGCTCTTGTCCTGATGTCTATGCACCTTGAATGTATGGGGCTTTCGTCTGTAGGCCACACGCCGCCTGCAGCCGTGCCACCTGGCCATGCCCTGCTGCCACCTGCCGTCGCGCCCCGACCCTGCTGCTGCGCCTCGCATCGCCACGCCCCGCAGCCTTCCAGCACCTCTCTGTAGACACCCCTTCCCCAGCAGCACGCGCCTTTGACAAGGAGATGCAGGGCGCGGGCAGCCTGGAGGGCGGCTTCCGCCTGAAGGCCTGCGGCGCGAGCGCACCGCTCGACGAGGCGTCCCCCGACGCGGCGGCCGGGCAGGCCGGGCGGTTGGAGCCGGCGGACACGCTGCTGCTGCCCGAGGCGGACCTGGCGCCGGCGCCGGCCACGGCGGACGGCTCGCTGGGGCCCGCGGTCAACGGCGGTCGGTACGACGAAGACTTGGTGGTGGAGCCGCTGCAGTCGCGCCTGCGGGCGCCGGAGGACAATGGTTTCCCGCTGCACGGCGCCCGCCGCGCGCAGTTCCCCTACAGATCGCCGGCCGGCGGCAGCGACGGCGGCGACGGAGATTCAGGGGCCGACGGGCCGCGGCCAGGCCAAGTTGCCGACGCGGAGCAGCATGAAGCGGGAGAGGAGGCAGCCGAGCAGGAAGCGGCGCAGCGGTGGCAGCAGCAGCACCAGCAGCAGCAGCATTACCAGCAGCAGCAGCAGCCACAGCAGGGGAAGGCCGTGCTTGGCGCGCTGGCAGTGGAGGACGGACTGAGCGCGGACGAGGATCAAGCTCGAGGGGGCAGCCAGCAGGTGGAGGCGGCAGATGACCAGGACGAGGAGGCGGGGCCGACGGCCGCGCCTGCGCCAGCACACGCGGAGGCAGACGCAGCGCCTGCGGCCGAGCCGGACGCGGACGCCGAGGGTGATGCCGAGCAGGAGGACGAGTCGCAGGCCGCGTCGGCGGCGGCGCCCGAGCGGTCGTCCGTGTGGCGGG